AAAGAAAATCTTCCTAAAGAAAATCTTCTTAAAGAAAATCTTCGTAAAGAAAATCTTCCGAAAGAAAATCTTCTTAAAGAAAATCTTCCTAAAGAAAATCTTCCGAAAGAAAATCTTCTTAAAGAAAATCTTCGTAAAGAAAATCTTCCTAAAGAAGAAAATCTTCCTAAAGAAAATCTTCTTAAAGAAAATCTTCCTAAAGAAAATCTTCCTAAAGAAAATCTTCGTAAAGAAAATCTTCCTAAAGAAAATCTTCCGAAAGAAAATCTTCTTAAAGAAAATCTTAGAAAATCTTCNTAAAGAAAATCTTCNTACACCGGCGTANATGTCATTTTCGGTAGTTTTCCATGTCGAAGACGGGAAACTCGAATTTGGTAGTGAAAATTGTTAAAAATCATCAGAAATCGGTGAAAACTCAGATTGTCTCTTTAATTTCCAGATTACTGTAGGTGTCGAAAATCCGCAATCACTTTTATCGCTATATTCGAATTCAAGATGCAAAAAACTAGAAGTTTCTAGCTCGATTTTTGAAATTTTTCGAATTTCTCGGGTTACTGTAGCTCGAAAAGTCCGCAAACACCGAATGAGCCTAAAACGTCTAGTTTCCGAGTTTCTAGTCGGAAAAGTCGATTTTGAAGTTATTTTCAGCGTTGAAAACGTTGTAAAATGTGTCTGAAAGCCCGAAATCCCAATTTTCCGGGTTACTGTAGCTCGAAAACCAAAATTGCTCAGTTTCAAGCTACCGTAGCCCGAATTTCATCAATTTCGGCCATTTCTCGGCTGAAAAAGCCGATTTTGAGGCTAATTTCAGCTCAAAATAGCTTTAAAATCCTCATTTCAGCCAAAAAAAACGCCACATTGCTCACCCTTAACCACGTCATCGGAATGCCATGTTCGTCTCGGAAGTCCGATGGAAGCCGTAGGACACCGAGCATCATCGCATACTCCACACGATACAGATATTCGTACTCTCGGGGCTCTCGATCTGAAAAAATTTATATTTTTGGCTGAAATTTTGGTGATTTTTAAGCCAAAAATTGTGAAAAATCAGCAATTTTGAGCCTAAATTCGTGATTATTGAGCCAAAAATGCTCAAAAATGCCTGCAAATGTGCCCAAAATCGTCCGAAACCGGGATTCTTGGATTACTGTAGCTGTAGTAAGCATGAGCAATCTCAAGTTTTTGGCTTAAAAATGCACTTTTCCGGGCCAAAATTGCTCATTTTAAGCCTTTTTTGAGCTAAAATTTTGGATTACTGTAGCTTCAAAGCTGAGCAATGTCATTTTTAGCTCAAAAAATCACGATTTCTGGCTCAAAATTGTCCATTTTCCCCCATTTTTGAGCTACATTTTTGGATTACTGTAGTTTTAAGGCTGAGCAATCTCAATTCGCGGCTCAAAATTGCTCATTTTTCGACCTTTTTTTTTGGAAATTTTCGAGATTACTGTAGTTATAAAGCTGAGCAATCCTGGGCTCAAAAATCTCAATTTTTGGCTCAAAATTGCTCATTTTCAGCCTTTTTTGAGCTATTTTTCGAGATTACTGTAGTTATAAAACTGAGCAATCCTGAATATTGGCAACAAAATCACG